GGAATTGTAGGTGAAAAGCAGTGCCTTTAAAGGAGTGCTTATTAAAAAATTTCTGCAAATTGCAGATTGTGAAGAACCAGCCTACTTAGTCATATTTCTAGTGCATTAATAAGTTATTTTATTATTCTCTTAAACAGAATCAACTCATGATCATTAGATCCAAACCTGGGGGCTGTGGTGGTTTTTGTGGTTCTTGAGGGCTTTTTGTTTTGGTGGGTTTTGGGTTTTCAGTCTGCCCTTTGTTGCATTCTTACTACTTGCCATCTGTGTCTAAGGCACCACTTGGTCAGTAAGTGACCGATGCAGGAGCTCCAGCTTTCATGTCCTGGGATGTTTGGGCACTATCACCAAAGAACACACACTGCTAATGTAATTAAAGTACACATAGTTCAAGTTAAAATCTTCCTAATTGCTACAGTTCTCATTAAGGTTTCATTTTTTGTAGTAGTAGGGATGTATATCCTGTATAAACACAATCCATTTTTCTTTTCTGAAGAGTATATATCCTTCAGTGTTTGTGTTGTATTCACAGTTGGTCTTGTGCTGTATTTGTTACTCTTGTATACATCTAGTTTTTCTGTCTGATTTGATTATTTGAATCTTCTCCACTATTTTTCTTTCCACTTGTCCATTTGTTTGCCATGTTACCACTGTTTTTTACTCACCTGATTATACTCCCGATGGATTACTGACAATGCTATCACTAACAGTATTGCCTCTGTGACTAATTTATTTGAAATACAAACATGCATTTGTGCTTGTAGGGGGTAAGCAGGGCTTTGTTTGGCTTTGGATTTTGAAGGGTGTTTTTGTTTCAGTGCTATGTTTGTTTCAGTGTTTGCATGTAATGTTTACCTTAAGTCCCAATGTCTTCTTTTTTGTCAGGAGAGTAAGTTGCCTAAGGTTTTGGCTACAGATGTCTCATGTACTACATCCTCCCCCAACCCCCTGATATTTTACCTAATTAGGAAGCTAAACTGCTCTGTGTCTTTTAGCAAAAATTGGCCTTACGGCCAATTCTTTCTTCAAATCTCCATTTTCTCTTCAAATATTTGCTATTGCATCATTACATTTTTAGAACAAGGCTGGTTAATAGATGCTGAAATGTGAATATTTTACAAAGTTGTAGACATTTTTCTTGACATTAACTGCTTTGTAAACTAATCCTAGTTTTAATTTTTAAAAATAATACTTATAATACCTCCATTATTTCGAAACATAATAAAGTTAGTGTTGGAACTAGCTAAGAGCTGTCAAAGGAGCTATGTCTACTTGATGTGTAAAACTTAATGTTTTTAGATTCCAATTTTGCTTTCTCAGAATGGGGCTCCTAGAAATATTACCACTTCTTTGTTTAAAGCAGTCTGATACATATATATAAATACAGATGTTACTAAGTTGCTCTGATCTCTGAATATTTGTCAATATCCTTTTTCTGCAGTCGGTTTCAAATACTGACTTGCCTCTGTATTATCGTGTTATTAACATGTCATTTTGAAGTGAGTGAAATGTATTATTCAGAGTTCCAGAAGAACTGAATCATAGCAGCTATTTCTGAAGAGTGTTTTGATTGAATCTCTGTATTAAATACTTATCTCTGTTTAAAATGCAGCTTGAATTAATTGTGTTTCAACTTGCAATTCGACTTCTGCATGCCAGAATAGCATGATGAGCAGTAAAAGTTGCATGAACATGTCACATTTTTTCATACTTCAGGATCTGGAGTACCTGTCTGAAGGCCTCGAAGGACGCTCCTCCAACCCAGTTGCAGTGCTTTTTGATACACTGCTTCATCCCGATGCTGACTTTGGGTATGACTACCCCCCTGTTCTGCATTGGAAGCTAGAACAACATAATTATATTCCCCATTTAGTGCTTGGAAAAGGACCACCTGGTGGGGCTTGGCATGTAAGTAAAAATTTCCTATCACTCATAGAGTAACTTGATAACTTTTGTGGTTTGGGATTTAAGGCTATCAAAGCCCATTTAAGCCCATCTAAAGCTGCTTTAGATTGTAATGCCACTTGCAGCTCACCTGCTCATTGACCAAAGCCCAGATATGTTGGGGAGATGAGAAAGGAAGAAGTTGTCCTTTATTTGGGCATTTGTGACCATGACTGCTGTCTTATATTATTATGACTTTTTACTAGTTTAAATTGAATGAATATGAAAAGTATTTTCTATAATTTTTTTTCTCTTGTGTACCTTGTTTTCAGGTGCTTTTGTATAAAATCTTAAATCTTGATGTCTTTCTGTGCTGCTGGTTTGATATGTTTTTCTTCCTCTTTCGTATTTTAAATCACGTGCTTTTAGTTTCTTTTTCACATGTTCTCTCGCCACGTAGTTGCTGATTAAAATAGTATCTAACTGTAACACAGAAATGGTTTATCAATACTTCTTGTAATGTCCTGGTCTTATCTTGTGTTCTGGTATTTTATTGTGCTAAATGAGTACAATGAGAAGAACTTCACTGTTTTTACACAAATGTATGCATTTGAAATGTATCTAGTCATGCATCCTTATTTTTTTGTCCACAGTCCATGGAAGGCTCTATGCTAACCATCAGTTTTGGAGAATGGATGGAATTGCCGGGCCTCACCTTTAAGGACTGGGCAGCTAGCAAACGCAGGTAAAGATACTGCATAACATTTTTGTGAATCCTAGTAGCTATAAAAATCCAGAAAACGTTATTTTAAGAACTGGAAAGCACTCAAACTTTGCTAATGACAGGAGGGCTTCTTGGTTTGTTTATTAAATTGCCTGATGGCACAGGAAATTCTTCTGGTGTATGTACTCTGATGGAATAAAAACCTGGGCAAGGGTCAGGCAGAGAAAGTGAGTGCACCGAAAGCATTACATACTAGCAGTAGTGAGTTCCAGCAGCAGTTTACAAAGAGGCACTGTTACTGTAAGCAGTTCTGATCAGAGCTGAGGGAAGATAGAGGAAGGAATTTAAAATCTGCAGAAGTATTGAAAGTTCCTCTTTCAACAGATGCAGTGTAAGTTGCTGTGCACACCAGCTTTCTTGTCATTCAGGAAGTTGTATGTTTCAGTGTTTGCTTTTACAGGCAAAGCTGCAGCATCTGAAACACTATCTAGGAATCTTAATTTTAAAAGCATAATTCAATATTTCACAATGTTATTTTCTAATACAAAGTTTCTCGAAAAAAAGTTAGAAAAGAAGAATTACTCTTGTATGTGTTCACTGTTTTTACTTGAGTTATGCGATTAGCACATAAAGGTCTGTGTCAGCAGATGAACCTAGGAACACTCTACATAAGCTTTTTCTAAAATTTTAGTTTTTCTGACTTTGATCTAGCAAAATTATAGGAAGTTGTTCTTGTACCACATATGGGAAAAGAAGTAGAAGAATTACTTGGGCATATGTCTTTAAGGGCAGACTGTAACTCATTTCAGGACAACACTTATAGTGAAGAAACTGTACCTTTGTTCTTTGTTCACACTGTTAGATAACCACAGCAATCTTACCTCCTTATTAACTGAAATCCCGTAAGCTGCTTATTATCTGAAGCTAATTTGTTTATATTATAGTTTTTGACAGTGCTAAAACCAGAAATGCTGACCTGTTATACTACAATTAAACCAACATAATTAAAAGTATTGATGATAATTAAAAGTTCTAGTCATGTAAAGTAGTTTCCTAAGTTTCCTTGTAAGAGATGTCACACTGTGACACTATCCTTTTCAATAAATATCTCATGAGGGATTTTCAGAGGAGTAACCTGAGCATTTAAAAGTACATATGCTATTATTTTGTTAATCTATACGAATGAGCAGCCCAATCACTTACAAATATGATTTTAAGTGTAACTCAAGGACAATCCTGATGTTCACTACTGTGTATTTCACATTCTCCTGGAGCTTACTTCTAAAGAAGCAGCAAAATTCTGCACCTGTTCCAAATAATTACATTGCCAGCTTATTTTTTGTATAAATGAGAATGCAATAAACATGAGAAAAGCACAGCTGTAATACCAGGGTTGCAGGGTAGAAGTGTTTTTGGCTGGACCCTTGGACATCACAATCCTGTTCACATACTTGCATGAACACTCTGTGTCATACTTGCTTTATTCGTTCACGTGATATGGAACTACATCATTTGATACTTAGTGAACTTATCTGTCCCCAAGGGAGAGGTCTTTTGGAAAGTATAATGAAGAATACTTGACTCAAGTAACATATTGAACCTAGAGTTTCAAAATTAGCACTTAACAGTTATTATGGTATTTAATTAATTATATCCTAAGTAAGTGTATTCCCACTGAGTACAATGTAGCCAGTATTGTATTGTTGACAGTCATGATGCTGAACTGCCTTTGCAAAACACATATGGAAATATGGACCTACTGTGATACTGCAGAGCTTTGTTGCACTTAATTTGTTAATCACCAGAGCAATTTATATTGTAAAAACCTAAAAATATATAAAAAATATTAGCTCATCTTGTGTATCAGGAATAAAGAGAACAAATAAAATTAATATGTTTACAGGTACTGAAATCAGTGTCAGTTACACTGAGCAGATTCAATCGTCATAAATTTGATTTGCCATGTGGTATGTCCTGTATGATATTCGGATTACGAATAAGGTCTGTATGTTAACTGGAACCATTCAATTTTGTTTCAGAAATATAAAGAGTGATCGAGTAATGCCAGAGGAAATAGCTTGTTATTATAAACACTACGTTAAAGTCATGGGCCTCCAAAAGAATTTCAGAGACAATGTTTACATAACGTCAGTGTCAAGGCTTTACCGAGGAGAGGATGGTGAAGACAGAAGTCAACAAACTGAAGATATTTCAACACAGCATTTGGAAATGGAAGATGGACAGAAATCACTTACTAAGAGAAACTGGGAAGTCAGGGGTTATCAGCGAGCAACAGATGGTTCTCACGTGCCCTTCTGTCTCTTTGCTGAGAACGTGGCTCTTGCCACAGGAACCTTTGATTCTCCTGGCCGGCTACAAGTTGAAGGCGAAGACTTTCCTTTTGTCCTCCATTCCATGTCTGACTTCGGAGCTGCAATCAGCAAAGGGAAGTTACGTGGGAAGGCAGACCCTGTGTTAATTGTGGGTGCTGGACTTACAGCAGCTGATGCAGTACTGTGTGCCTATAACAACAACATCCCAGTAATCCACGTGTTTCGTAGAAGAGTTACCGATACAAGCCTCATTTTCAAACAGCTACCTAAAAAGCTTTACCCTGAATACCATAAGGTCTATCATATGATGTGTACTCAGTCCCATACTGTGGACTCCAATCAACATTCTGCTTACACGAGTTTCCCTGAACACAATGTACTTTCCTTTAAGCCTGAAATGAAATGTGTTCTTCAGAGTGCCTCTGGACTGAAGAAAATTTTGAAGTTTTCTGTAGCCTTAGTTCTGATAGGTTCTCATCCAAATCTTTTCTTTCTAAAGGACCAAGGACATAGCATAGGTCATCACTCTAATCAGCCCATCACATGCAAGGGGAATCCTATAGAGATTGATCCCTACACTTATGAATGCACTAAAGAAGCCAACCTCTTTGCTTTAGGTCCTCTGGTAGGAGACAACTTTGTACGGTTTTTAAAAGGAGGTGCACTGGGCATTGCACGATGCTTGGCAATAAGACAAAAGAAGAAACATGAGTTGATTGAAAGTGGGGATGGTGGAGGTGACGGGGTACCATAAATGAGACACTAGAAACTCTCACATCCAGGATTACAGGTGTAGTCTAACAGAATACTCACTGGCAGCGAGAGTCGATAGCAGTCACGTTTCTGTTGTGTACGAGTAACCTGCGCTTGTGTTGCTTGGTAAAGGATGCTGATACCACAATACTTCACCCTTTCAAAATACAAAATATTGATCTGCTCTTTCAACCAATCTACTCAACTGGAATTACTTCCAGATAAACAGAAAATGAGACTAACTTATAGTGACCTGCCTGTCATCTCTAGCTCAGCTTAAAGAGCAGACTTCCTTTGGGAAAAGCAATGCCTACCAGAGTGGCTTTACATTTTAGTGTCAAATGTGACAATGCTTTTACCATGAAACAAAAAGAAACTTCTAAAAGCAGAAAGCTTGCTTAATACAAAGTGGTTCTTGGTCCCAAAGCAAATTTGGAGCCTTCTGCTTGAAACAAGGATTTTATTTATTTGCCAGTCATACGTGGAATGAGCACTTAGTACGATGGTTTCTACTGTAAGAAGGATTTCTGTAAGGAAGAAGTTTCCTCAACAGTTATAAATTATCCCGATAATTGGAATAAAAGAAAAAGCATTCCCATTTATCTTTAACGATGATTTGGCACAATCCATTAATGCTTCTTCACACTATGCCCTAGAGTTGGGTGAGTGCAGACTAACATGAGATGTTCCTCTACAGTGACATGTACATTTCTGAGAATACGCATTAACATAAACAATAAAGTACTGATGTAAGTGCTCTTACTGCAGTGTCAATATGATGAATATGTAGTGTACTACTGAAAAATTAAGGACATGAGAAAACTTAAGGGTTTTTTGCTTCCTAGCTCAGGAAGACTGAGTGGGATCACTTGGGTGGTGAAGGTGGATGATGGATATTCTCATCTGCCATTTGATGAAGGATTGGGGGTTTTCTCTTTTTTTTCTAAAGCAGCACATAATAGTAAAATATTTTAGCCTGCAGTTTTTGAAACTTGATAAAGGGTTATATCTGACAGCCAGCTAAAAAATAAACCAACTTCAAAACAAACATGCCATAGTTCCTGTAAATCTTAGAGCTTGTTATGAAAGACAAAGACAACTTGTACCTACCTCTGAATCCGAGTTTCACCTTTCTGCTCCATAATGTAAGACCTGCATTTTATTTGCTGGGCTGTAGTGTAGTTAATTTACCTAAACATACTCATGGGTTATTCACCATAGTGAGGTTAAGCAACAGCTAGTTAGAAAAGTGAACTTGCAGAACTCTGAATAGACAAGTGCTTGTTTTTAACTGATTTATTACCAGACTTTTTTATTCAGGTCCAAGGTGATGGAATAGAAGGGTTTTTTCTTCTTTGGGGCTTTTGTGTGTTAAAGAACATCATGCTAGTTTAAGGTATTGTGTTTGCATGATTAAAAATCTACATACTAGAACAGATTTTTTTAAAGGAAGTTAGGCTTAGGCTTTGTAAAATTGGTAGTGCTGGCTGGTTTCCCAGCTGTCTTAATTTTCATAAGTTGTAGATACCTATATGCAAGAAATGCCTGTTTTCTGTGCCTACTGAATTACATGGTTCCACAACTACTGCAACCTTTATGCATCTGAGTGAGTTACTCAGACTTTGGACATGGATGTTCAAAAGGTAAAGTATGCAAGGATTAAAATTACTGTATTTGCAATGGAAGTCCAAAGTAATTTACGAAATTATGCTACTAGTAATAATAAACTTTAGTTTAGAGCCACTTAATGGCATAAAAATAAACACCAATAAAGCAACATTTCTATCAACTTCTGCATTGCCCACATAGTTGGCTTTAACCAGGCATTGTCAATGCTAGTTAAGATGTGTTTTTATACTGATGTTTGAGCTGGTTTTAATTACGCTAATTTCTAGGCTTATTTTCTTCATAATTGAATTGAGATTCTATAACTTGCCTACTTTGGCAGAAACTGTGTATATAGAAATCTATCCTAAGCCTTGTGATACCTAATAATTTTAACTGAGAATCAGTTATAAGTGCTCAATACTTGATTAGAGAACTTTATTGCAGTTAAGTTATTGGGAATACATCTTCACTGTGATTACATTCCTTCAGTTTTATGTCAATATAAATGTCCAAGTATAAGACATCACGGCATGTTCCTGCTTTTCCATTTGTCACATGAAACCCTTAAAATGCCAGCGAAACAAAGTTATTCTGTTTGTTTATTTTGCAAAATAAGCAGTTATTTTGCAAAAAAGGGGGAAGAAAGCTTCAAACAGCCCAATTTCTGGCCTCAGCTGCTGCAGCTGTGTGTGTTGTAGTCACAAATCTGTACCAGAGATCTTTGACCTGTTATTACACAGGTATCTCATGGCAGTCTTACAGCACCTTGAGGTTTAACTGCTTTTTGTTTGTTTATTTTTTAATCCATCTTGCCAGTATTTTTGAGATAGAAAGTTGCATGTGAGACCCCTTAGTTGGGTAGAGAAATTTTCTCAGTGGTCATGTTTATTAAGCCAGTAAAAAAATACTTATTTTAACCAAAGCTTTACTAAAAGATCCTGTTTCTTCCAGGAATTGCCAGACTTCAAGTTGTAGCTAGACTTTGTCACTTTTGCATTTCTGATTTTGAGAGAAATATCTGTTTTTCTCCTTTGGTATTTTGAGGGACTAAGATGTAAAAATTCAAGCTTTGCCTTAAGATAGTTTTACCTAAAGCACTGCGTTTACTGTGAATTTGATGTTGGCATTGAGTAGTTGTCTTTGGGGGAAACACCTTGGTTATTGGATTTAAAAACATTTCAACTTCCTGTGTGTTACAATAGTTCCCAAAGGGAAGAGTGTTTGCTTCTTTCAGCTCTTCGTTCAGTGAGAAAGAGAAGCTTTTCAACATCATGGATTTTAAAAGGATGCTTACTACTAAAGCTTTATTACTAAAACACAGACAGGAAAAATATAATATTTAGCTAAAGTGATTTTTTTTGGATTTATAGAATTTATAAAGGTGTGCTAACCCAAACTATGTATTTTCTAATAGGCTAGTGGAAACACATCTCTTAATTTGTATTTGGTTCTTAATGCTGTGAATGTGTCTCCTAGTTAAATTATTACTGAGATTATTTTAAGTAGTTTGAACTTGGACTAAGGTTTGTCATATGTAGATTTCCCTAACAATTTGCCTCCTTTCCAGTGCCTCTTTGTTAGGCTGATTAAATTCTGCTTAAAACATTTTACAGAAAAGAGTAACGCTAAGTTTTACCCAGGTGAGTAAAAGCAGAAATCCTTTTTCCAGGCAATCCAGAGAGTGGTGACTAACACCAGATTCTTCTCTCTCTCAGGAAAATGCATTGCCTTGTAGTTGCAGTGAATGCATGGAAGGAGTATGGCTCCCAGAAACAGCAGCTATCCATGTAAGGGACACCAAAGTGCATCCCACAGCTCTAGGTCCTTAGTCCTCAACACTTAGGAAATCGTTGCGGTATTCTGTATTTTCTTTCTGGCCTGGGGGGTGTAGGCACCTTCTTTTTAATCATTAGTTTCATAGAGTGATGAATAAAAAATAAATAATAATAAAAAAATACTGATTTTGTAGAAGGAGGTGCTGTAGCCTCTCTCTCACAGCTCAAGAACTGTGAAAAGGCTAGAGCCAGAAATCCAGAGTACTTAGTCAAAGCTGGAGGAAATCAAATTAAGACCCAAACTTTGAGGCAGGCCTGACCTGCGTATCCAGTTGAGAGAAAAGGACATTTTTAGGCCAGTTGCTCTTGAGAGAGTAAGAAAGGGTGTAAAATTTGCACCCTTCTAGTGAGTCTTCACTGATGACAAGGGATAACCAGTGAGGAATGATGGGAGGAAAGCTGCCAAGAACTTGAGCAATATGAACTGGAAACATGCAGGTGCTGAAGTGCAACCATGCAGTGTTGAAAGGCCAGTGGTCTCCTATCCACCTGGGTCAGGACCTGCATACTGTGACTCTAGAGTTCTGTGCCAGAGCTGTTCATCTTAACATGTTGCCATGTATTTTTAACTGGCTATTAATTGAAGTACACCGAAATGCAACATGTACAGACAGAATAGAAGCCATTGTATTTGCTCAGTAAGCTGTAGGACTGGATCAGTAAGGTGGTGTGCCAAGAAATAAGGCCTTTTTGCTCTGGTACCATATTTTCTACTAAGAAAGCAAGCAGGTATTTTCATGTAGTAGCAGGATCTGGGCTGTACAGTGCTAGCTCCAAACAGTTCTGAACAGCAAGAGGTAGCACAACAGCAAGGGTAGCTGATTACTTGATTTTAGCATCCATTTTTTATGATTTAATTTTGTGTAAGTTATGGAACAAAAAATGCACAAAGGTTTATACTGTTACATTTTAATTCAGGTGATATGTTAGAACTTACAATAACACAGATCTGTCATTATTTTGGATTCTTATTTTAAGGTGCGAGCAAGATGAGAGCACAGTACCTTAACTGATGTGAGAGCATTTTGTGCGCACACTTCCATTTAGCAGAAACAATGGAAATTGAGACACCTTTCACAGAGAAAGGAAGGCTTTGGTGACATTAGGAGTACAATTTTGAAGTCAGGATTTTGAATTATGAAAAGATCTCTTTCTGTAAAAAGCATATTTATGGGGAAGATGGTACATGTTAGGTGTTTCAGTTTATAGTTAATTTTTGAAGCTTGAGTTACACAAGGAATTGTCTGGTCAAGGATGAATTTGTGTAAGGAACAAGGATTATGGGGGAAAAGCTTTTATAATTTAGTAGTTACAGTGAAGCTAAGCACTACTTTAAAGATGGTTTTGTCTTTGTAGACATTAAAGCATTTCATCTCAAGCAAACCTTGAATTTGAGTTGACATTATACCTGTCTGCATGTTAGAAAATGAGCTAACTGATAATTTTGTACTTTCAGGGCATATTAAGCCAACTATTAAAACTTGGTAGTCATCAAAACCAGGAGACAACTTGTTCTGGAGATAAGTTATTCTAATTTGCACTTTACTCCTCCATCTCTTTATTCTGAGATCACTGGCAATGTGTAAGCATCAGCCTACACTGCCTGCAGTAGATGCTTCAATAAACTAAAATTCAGTTTTATGTTCCTGAACACCCTCTGTAAGACTTACATGACAGCATAAAGGAACTGAACAACGGGGTTTGCTATGTATTCACAAAATATTACAGAATCTTGGCATTTTTATGTTCTTTTTTTTATTAAACTAGGTATATAAAGACAAAAGTTGTCCACAAAGACAAATCTAGAGACAAGGTGATCAAAGAGATTTGATACAGTTCCAGGGAATACTCCTAGGAGAGGGAAATGGCTCATTTTTCATCAGTTTGGATGCTAGGACCAACTTCTATGTGAACACTTAGTTAGTGCTGTTCAAGAACTGATCCTGCAACTTTACATCTCCCCAGCACAATTTACAGAGTCAGTACTCTGATCTTGCCTGTTTGTCTGTTAGGTCTGGTATTCTGGTTGTGGAATTCCAGTTCTAGAGATAAAGGCTTATATTAATCTACCTATGTTTGCTCACACACACCTGGACTTGGAGATACTATATAAATGTCATTTCTGTGTGTCAGTGCCTCAGTTTCCTGCTTTCAATGGAATATACTTGGGTCATACCTTTTTTTTTTAAGATCGGCAATGTAAATGTGTACAGAACATTTGCAGTCAGCTGGAATATATTTGCTGCAAGCACCTTGTGAGCAAAACCTCAGCTTTGATTAGATGATAAACATTCCTGAGGTTTGCATGCTGAGCTTGTTTTATTTTCATGTGTGAAAACCGATGATGGACTGACAGTGAAATACTAAAGTAGTTCCACCTAAAGCCAATTACTTTGGTTTTGAGAAGTGAGGAACTCTTAAGTCAAACGAAAGAACAAACTGCAGAAGAGGCATTCAGAGAGCTGCAGTGTTCAGGAGGGAGAAGGTGTTGTTTTGTATGGACCTGGTACTGTAGCCAATGCCTGAGAGCAATTCTGACAGTCAAAGCTGCAGCAGAGTGGTACGGGCAGAGTGCTAAAGCAAGTGGCAGGGAAAGTTGTTAGGGAGATCTGATATTGTCTGACATTTTAATAACTATCTCACTGGAATCTGGTGGTGGTTATCAAAGATTGGAAGAGGGTGAGGAATAACAGTAAGGAATATCGTTCATGTTTTGCCACATTTGGCTCGAGTTCTAAGGATATACAAGAACACAATCAGAATTTGAGAGTCAAACACCAGATGTGGCCACATGTGACTGAGGATAGATTCAAGAAATGGAGCATACCAAGAGAAGGGCTAGTTTTATGGGAGAGGGAGAAAGATGGGATATCACTTATAACCTGTAATAACATGGGCTGGTAATAGGAGAGCTGCGAAGGGTTTGGAGGTAGATCTACAGCAGAGGCTTCAGCTGCTCAGTTAGGAATTAACATGTGAATAGAGACTCTGGGACACTCTAGAATGGAGGTTAGGAAGGGGGCTTAGCACTTTGGAGAAAACTGATGGGGAAGTCAGTGGATGGAGGAAGCTGAAGCTGACTGCAAACACTTTCCACACATTGGAACTGGTGCAGTGACACAGGAGAGTTCAGTCCTGCTGCACCAGCCCCACCATTTTGGGAGAAGATGGGGACTGAGGATAGGAGAAAAAGGGGCAGGCTCAGAGATGTGAATGGACAGAAATAGAAATCAAATTTCAATGGAGAATATCTTGGTAGTCTTGCCAAAAAAGGCCAGTCTTCCCTAGCTGATGTAAAAAAGATGGAAAGTCAAATGAAACTGGTGTGAGTTCAACTGAAAATTAAGCATGTTGTTCCTGCAGGGATGCAGCACCCATCCTCGGTTTAGTGCTACATTGAGTAATTCAATTGCTTTAAACTGTTTTCAGCTAAGCTGCTGAATACAAGACTGTATTTTAAGAGCCTTGCTAATAAAAAGTATATTTAGTTTATGTATTGTGTGCATCTCCTTCCCACGAGCAACGTGAGCAAAGACAATAAATGTTATAAAAAAAGCAATCCAAACAAACCCTCAAACAATCTGTTACACACAAAAATGCAAGAAACAAGGTCTTAAGCTAAGTTTCCGCTTAGATGTATCTTTAGGTGAAGAGCATAATTTTGTCAAAAAGCTGGGTATGCTTTGCAGACTGTGGTTTGTGGCAGAGGAGAGAAACCTTAGATATCATCTCTGAGTTACTGAACCTTTTTTAACCTAAAGCAAATCAACACTACTAAGTTCTCTGAGAAAACTGAACTGTTGAAACCACAGAGCACAAGCTTCACAGAGTAAAAAAGGAGCATGCAGCAAAATTTCTGAACTGCGTCTGCAGAATGCAGTTAATTGCTCTTGCTTGTGCTCACAGCTTTTGCTTTACCTATAAGCCAGTATCTCAACCCAAGAGTTTTCCCACTTTCCCTTTTTTGATTCAATGACTCGCATCCTGCTGGAGGGGAGTGTGTGAGTGGCTGTAAGGGGCTTAGCTGCCTGCTGGGATTAGCCTACAACAGTATGTCATATAAAATAAAGGAAACATCAGGTGAAGTTAATGCTCCAAGGGTAAGGCAAACACTGATGTAATTTATTGGATATTTGGGCTCCTAAGACTTGGATCAGGTAATCATGTCCATTATCATCTACATCAGAAACTTCAGTAGCAGAAGGCCCAAACCAATAAGCCAACAAGCATGTGTCCTCTAATGTCAGGAGCTGAAAATCCTGACAAAATTAAGTTAAAATGGAAGGAAATCTTCAGTATAATGAATAGGACTTGCTACACAAACCTGGAGTTACAGTTCAAGCCAAGGATAAGGGGCAGAGGTTTATATGTCTAAGCCTTTTAATGCAAGCATAACTTCATGCCGAAAGAGCAGAAGGCTCAGGTGCATTAGTGTACAGGCTTCTCCCCAACCAGACAGCAGCTGCATCTGGATAACAAACCAAACCATCACCTACTGGGTACCCTCAAGTTAGATGCAAAACAGGAATAGACAGTGGCTGCACTTTTAGTCAACCAGTGATCCTACCCATTTTTCTTTTTTTTTTACATCCACACTACAGTGGAAGCCCCCACAATGCCCTAGTCTCCAGAGAGCATGCAGCTGCCTGTGAAAGACTGCAAAGAAATCTGGTGTTGGAAATGTTGATACAGAGAAGACATCTCAAACAAGATCTATAAAGAAATCTCCATATTTGTGGGTACTCCCCTTCACATGGTGAGACAAGTCAGTGCATCAGTCCTAGGACACTAAATAACTAAAGTCAAATTTGGTATAAGGAACAAGGATTATGTTTATTATCAGAGCTGGTAAAATCAGCTGTCTCGGGAACTGGACATGTGAATAGAACAGTGGTCTCAGACATGCCACCAGGGTTGCTTGAACCCTAGCAGACTGCAGTCTGAGCAGCAAAGGACTTAGCCTTTATTTTTCATAGAAGGCCCCTGTACATAGTATCTTCTGAGAATTTCTAAGGTGAAATGACAAGTTCTGGTTTTTACAACTATCAACACAACCTTTCCAAAGAATCTTGTCCACTGATATTCTGCTATCCAAGCTATATGCTCGAATTTAGTAACAGCAATCAAAAACCTCACCAGTCTACAAGGGTTGCTTGTAAACCACAAATGGCCTTCAAATGGAAAACCTGGAGATTCTCATTGTGACAGCAGAGAAACGCACCTGAGGGTGCAAAAAACTGCAGTCAGGACACCTCCTCCAGCAAGAACTTCAACTGCTTAAAAACAGTCTTTTTAAAGGTATTTGGTGGACAAGATTTATTTACTGTGCCCTGATGCAAATTACAATACCCAAACACTTTCACAGCTATCGAGGCACTCAGAATTGGTCTGTCTGCATCACTCTGGACATCACTGACCAAAGTGATCAAGAAGATGCCAAGACAGACCCTGAGGAAACACTGGCTTTTGAAGACCAAATATTTTCTGAATGTTGCAACCATGCTGACTTCAGCAGATCTGCTATCTTGATAGTACATATCTCATAATGCTGTTATTCACATCTGATACACAACAGAGCAGCTTCAAACAGCTCAGCTCATCTTGCCTGCACGCTCTGAGCTCTTGGGAGAGGAGGTAGTTCTGTTCATATGTACTTAAGTTCTACTACATCAACCAGATTACTCCCTCACGTAAGAAAGGGGATCTTACCATCCTGCTTCCTGAAATAGGATGCAATGGAACTACTGTCCATCTTTTATGTGTGTGATGGCTTCAAACAGCTGAGCAGAAAGTCTGGAAGGTTTTTCTTCACTGTAGTTGCAGGGGAATTCCTCAAATTGCAAATTATCAGATCATTAATGAGCTCTCCAAACCCAACAACAGGTAGCTGTTTCATAGCTTTCCCTGTTGATTGAACTATTTTGAAGGGCATATTTTTACAGAGTGATTGCAAAAAGTAAAGGCATGAGAGGAAGAAATGGGTCAATAAATCCCAAACTGGAGTGCAATAGCTCTTTAAGACTTTTGCTGGCTTGGAAGTAGCTTTTAACAAATGAACATTCAAACAAACTGATTTAAAGTTTCAAATGAAAATATGCAAGAAAAAAAAGTTGTTTTTTTTCAGTTTCAAGATCTTCTATAACAGTAACCACAGTATGTGCTCTACATAATGAACCATGGAGAAGGCTATCATGTTCAAATATCAGCTGCACTTCAGTCTTCCTTAACAGATTCCCAATTCTTAAGACACCCCCCATGAAAATATCTAATTAACAAAGCCATTCTGGGGGGAAAAAAAAAAAAGCCTGATGCTAACTTCCTTTTTCTTTCTCCCAAAATAGTACTCATAAGCAAACATTAGATATAGCCTGAAATGAAATCCTAAGCATGTACGGTATTTTACTGAGATTGCTCTGAAGTAAATAATGTTAAGGTCTTGAAAATGTGCAATCTGTAAGTATCAAGCAGTGAAACATTTCTTTTTCTTTAATAAAAGGAAGACTTAGAAAACCAAGTTTTACAATAATAGATAGATCAAATGGTCATATATAGGAACATTGTACACACTATAACCAGGAAACCTAAGGAACAGAAAGTAGGTTTTGCTAAACACTGTACATTCAGGTCACAATTTATCTTCTCCTTTTCACATTAGGATCATATCTGCAACAAAAAGAGAAAATTTGTCACAAATAAGTAAAACTTAATGATATTCAAAGCTAAGAATGTGATGTAAATATCTTTATTATATATTCATAACATGGGAATGGCCTGTGTTTAGTCCTTTCCCTGACTGCACTTGTATAATTAACTGCAATTGCTACAATGTGACTGAAGGATGTGCAAGGTAGAACCTCTGTGTGAACCAGAAATAACCTTTAATAAAAGTTTCAGTAACTTCCTAGCTACTTATAATCTTTAAATCTGATGCATGGACAAGTTTCTCCAAGTCTTTAATGTCCCAACATTAAGTTGCTTACTAAAAAAAACCCAACAAAAACAAACCACCAAAAAACGAAAAGGAGAGGGAGGGGAAAGGAGCACTGTATACTCACATCAATGTACAACATTCAGCCACAACTCATTCAGCCAAAACCTTTCTGCTGCTTCCTACTCCTATATAAAGCAGTTCCCTGCCTCATCTTCCACTCTACACAGCTCCTGATTGTTAGAATATACTAAAGAGTTACCTGATTTACTGCAATATGCTTACAGTTTGCCTCTGCCTGATACTGCTATCCCTTGGCTGCCTCTTTCTCTCCATTTATGCTTCATCACTCAAAATCCTATGTCACTTCTTTGAAATTCTGATGTGTTTTGTATTCATGCATGAATAACTTATGGACACAACTGAATGATCAGGCAGTTTTACATCCACTAAATCTGCTCTCATTCATCAAGACTTTATGCTTAGACAGGAAAATGTGACAACTTGTGAGCCAGATTGCATCACCACATAGCTAGAAAGGTATTAGAAGACACTGTTGTTTCTATACAACTCAGACTTTTGGCAAAAATGAAACGTATACCCTTTGAAAGAAGTGCTCTATTATTAACTGTTAATTAACAGATGAGGTTAATGCAGTAAGGTTTTCTGAATGGCTCTAACACATGCTGCTATGTGGTATGTTTCTTTGATAGTGATGTGGAAAAAAAATCCTTCACCATGTACATTTTTCTGCCTGAATACACAATTTTTAGTGTTAGTCAAACACATGGTGGGTGATAAGTCAAACAGTGGTCACCTGTTTCTTCACATAAACACAGAAAGCAATGAAATCTTTACTAAACAAAATGAGATACTTACGTTAAATCTCACACCATTTATTTTACTTTATTGCTATAGCATTGTAACAAATTCATTCTAATATTTAAATGTGTCCTGGACACCAAATTCTATGGAGGGGAGGGACAGCAAGATAAGCAGGTAGGAGAAAGGGATGGTACATGGTGGAAGCCTCTCATCAGGACAACAGCAGCTTCAACCCTGTCTGTGACTGCCTACAGAGATGCTGACTTAGAAAGTCATGAACATCTTTTCATTGTTATCTCTTCCACATCACCTCCACTCATTTTCCATGTTAAATGAAGCCTGGATGGTGTTTGTTTTCCACTACTGTGAGTGAATGCACAAAGAAACATAAGACTTTGCTAGACCAAGGAGGATACAAAGGGTTGTTAATGAACATAATCCATGTATCTGTTCTCTTAGCAGAGTATAACATACTTTCCCTTCCTCCTGTCTCAATATGTACTCAGCAGCAGTTGAGGGCACAGCTTTTTCTGGCTCATCTTCACCTTGGAGTATGGCCTGACTCTTTCTAATGGCATCTTCAAATGCAATTTTCATGGGAAATTGCAGCTGTTAATATTAGCATTATGCCAAGTAATTTTACTCAAGATTAAGGTCAAAAGTAGAAGTAGGTTACAGACTGGTGAACATTAAATTGTGTGTTTTAATATTTTTGGCTATGGAAGCTTCTCCAAGTACAACTATCCTAAATAAACTGGAGTTGAGGTAAAAACTTTTCTAAGCATGAATGCATGCCAGTTATCTAAGTTTCCACTGCTGTGTTTTCAGATGCAAAAATCACCCAAGATATTTTGAACCAGTTAATATTCCAGCACAGAAGTCTAGTCGCACCATGTTTTTATAAATGATAACTGACATATTTAAAGGCTGAATTTCACATGGAAAAAACGGATAAAAGTGGCAAACTTGGAGTAGAACTTTTTCTATTAGAAAGTGGTTATATATCATTAAATTGGGATTACAGTTGAAAGTAATCTGGACAAGAAGTGAACTGAGTAGGATGATTCTGTCCTTCAAAAGAGGTATCAGGAAAGTGGTAGACAACTGAAGTGAGGGTTATTGAAAGAAAACGGCTGAAACAGACTGTGTTTTGGAGGCAAATGGAAGGAGTTACAGCAAAAAGCAATTGCAAACAGACAAGGAGAACCTGGGTCTACCAAAGAAATCTCTCAAACTCCTGACACACAAGAACTGGTTATAGCAGAATCAATGACCTACTACACTGTCAGAAGCACAGAATGATTGGTGCCAAAACATCTCCTTGGTCTGAAAACTAGGAAGGTGGTAAGATGTTGAGGGAGTTTCTAATGGCTAAATAAAGCTAGGAGCTCTTTGTGAATGGGTTCTAAAGCAGGTTAAGGTCTCAAATCTAAGGGACACAGAGGCAACATAACTGAAGGATTTACTTAAGCTTTTGTTTGGGTTTTTTAAATTTTGGTTTTAAACTGTGAGAATCGTTACTTCAAAGATCAGAAACAAAGAGAAAGCAGTCCTGCCAATCACTTTTTCAAGTACTCCGTGGCTTTAGCTCCCTCAAGTGACTCAGCACAGGGACAGACAAGTGTCATGGCCAGAACAAAAAAGTGGCAAACCCCATCACTTATTTTCTCCACATTTCAGATGACTGACTTAATGGTATGATCAAAACACTTCACTAGTCTCTAGCAAATACTCTGGAATCCAAGCTTGTGAATATGAATTAGGAAATAGCAACATTTCTGTCTGAGAATGTCCGTATTAAAAAACTGTAGCAAGTTTGAATCAAACTGAATGTTTAAGGTATGCAAAATTTGAGAGAAGCTGATGAATCATTCTGACTATATTCCATACATGGGAATCTGTGGAATTTTGAAAAGAGCAGTCTTTTCCAAAATAAAAATTTGTCAAAAAAAAAGATGTGATGCAAAAAATACACTTTTTAAATACAAACATAAAACTCTTACCTAAAGAGATCATCAGCAAGTGATTCTTCTCTTGCATGTCGGTTCTGTTCCTGAGAAAGTAAGTTTATTCAATATTTGATTATTAAGGATGAATAATGAACAATATAAACACCCAATATATTCCTGTACTATCACAGTCTTTCCTGAAGAAATAAGTTTTCTCCATTTAGAGCATATTCACATTAGATATGTCATTTCTGTACTCAAGTTTGGCTATGGCTACCAAACAATGAAATGGAGTAGTTTGTGCAAGGTATCAATTTTGGTCAGAAATGTGTTTTTTGGATTTTAAGCATCATCAGACAAAAAGAGAAATTTTAATCTGATTATTGGTGCCTAAGGGGAATTTTAATTAGCATTATTTATATGCAGGGATCAATTAAAAAACAAATAGAAATAATCAAGAAGTGCTGATGTAACTGCATCTCCATCAGGATACGGAAACAGATTATGACTCCTTAGCAAGTATTTTTAAGAAAACTATTGGAAAATGAAAGTGCTAGAGAATTGCTACAATAAAATACAGTATTTTTTAGAACTTCTGCATATAAAGCTGAAGATTTTTTACAACAGTAAAAACATTAAATTTATTCTTAATACTTCTATTCAGTACACTCCAACAGAATCTTACTCAGGTATTTTCTGTTCTGTTCAAGAGTAGAGTATCAGTTGTACTGCAGAATGATTTGAACACAGCTAACCATACAGAAGCTCTTTCTATCTTCCAGTCACTCTTCTACAAGTCACAAGTTTCCATAATGCCTATTTTGCTCATCAAAAAAGAGTTGCTCTCTTAGGTTATTGGTTTTACTTTACAAAAGTGTTTCTGATTACATGAATGTTGCATGTAAAATAAATTCAAATGACCAGCAAAGAGATGTGCCTTACCACTGACCCCTGACTTTCAGTAACTCTCCTATTGTACAGGTTCCTCTGAGCATGTGTGGACAGCTGACTGGCTGAGGTTCTATCTCAAACATAAAATTCTGAAGTATTTCAGTACTGACCACAGGTTGGTATGACCACTTACATAATTCAAACTTTTATTTGATCAGCTTTAAGAAATCATTCCTTACCTCTATTTCTTGCCTTAGCCAGTCTTCTAGCTCTGAATTCTTCTTAGCATGGTGAGCAACCAAATCTGATCCTCCAATAATGTGTGGAAGTTGTCCTGCCCCTGGATAAGCTACCTGTTGGATAATAAATTCTTACAACTACACAGCAAGTACAGTGCAAGCAAAAGCTCTGTTTTAACCAATTTAGAAAGTCTATTCAGCTATCACAGAAGAAAGTCAGTCTTTTTTTGAATAACAGAGATCACATTTAAAAGCGACTGAAGTTAAAAACGCATTTAAAGAAAACTATTAAGTCCCTCCTTTTACCAAAACAAACAAACAAACAAAAAATCTGACAAGCTAAAGATGCTAAATAAATCTGACAGCACATTAAATGGAGTTTCAAATGTCAGTAAAAATCAGTTTATATTTTATTGTCAGACTGCATAAGCATTTATTATGAAATGGTGGAAAAGAAAATACTCTCAGAAATTTTAAACATGATCTAAAAATGAGAGCATACTCCCAGAATGCTGGAAGTAGCATTATGTGCCTCACATTCTCTACACAGTATTTCACTGAAATGCATTTCTAGTCATCTTATAATGACATCTTTTTCATTTTTATTTGATTGTTAATATAAGCTGAAGTGGTACTTTTACACTAAACACTTGAGAATCTCTTTGAACCTGCCTTTAGGACCCAAGCAAACAATCATCTTACTTTTGTGCAATACTAGATTTAGTTCGATTTAGAAATCCAAGATTTATTAGTTCAAATGCAAGATTCTGAATCAGCATATGCCTTATGCATAGGTCTTTGGAGAAGTGGAATTGCTGCTTTTGGAGGTACAACCAGAAGCTATGGCAGCCATCACTTAATGATTTATTCCAAGAAATAGCTTGGAATAGAGTACAAGTATGTAATCTAGCACAAGGTAAGCCTCTGTCAGCCTGGTACTTCTTCAGTCAATTAACAATATATTTGTTAACAGCATAATATGGTATTTAAATTGTTTCCTTCTGTAGTTAACTTCAATTTGTAAAAGACCTTTCACAACATATTTCTACATTCTTGAGGCAGTACTTTTTACTATTTTTAAATAGTGCCATCTTGTGACCATTTCAAACACACACTGACCTTTTTGAACATTTTGAAGTTTTTCTTTCCCCCACAGTTGGTGTTTCCACTGAGGCGACTGTTCTGCCTCGGATGGCTGACAACCAGTGACCTAAACTCAGTCAACAGAAGCCTGCTAGGAATATTGCTGGAGTCACCTTGCAGTTTGCTGTCGTTCTTATGTGGGAAGAAAAAGGAAGAAGCATTCAAGTGTATGAACAGACATACAGCATATCTAACAGTATAAACTTCAGAGAAATTATCATGGGCAGAGCTGAGCAAAAGTCAGGATTACAAAAGGGTGAGGAGAAGCAGCAGCAGTGCTAGAAGCTAGGGAGATCTATGAACTACTCAGCCACCCTACATACTATGACTAGAGTTGCAAGCTCAGTAAATCTGATTCTCTCATATTTAAATACATTGAAAAGACAGGATCAGTAACAATGATGAAGTCAGTGTACTTCCTTTCACTAGGATTTTACTTCAGGATAAAACTTCAAGTAAGAATTTTTTGTTTCCAATTTAGCTAGTATCTAAGAATTACTTCTTTCCTCCTCTCCACCTTGTCTCTACTTGGACTAGCTTAATCAAGCATGCCTACTCCAATGGAAACTCCAGCTAACTCCACAGAGGACAAAGCTGAACATCTTCAGCTCAATTCTAGCCTACAGATTTTTGGCCAACTCTAGGGCTGTGAGCTGAATCTGATCAATGAAGCAACTTTTTCTTGCACATGAGAAAGCTCACACACCAGCAGGTTAGCAGGACCACTTTGCTGCCTGGGGCTACATCTATGTAGATTCAAACGAACTGTGGGTGCAGGACGAGTTCACAAGTAACATTAAACTATCTTCATGAACAGCTCCAGCCCAGATGCAGAATAGCTGCTTTATACAAAGTATAAACTAGAAATCTCTTAATCTGGGCTGACCCTGCACTTTGGTGTTCATGCACAGCATTCCCTCTTGGGCTGTTTTAGGCATGTATGTGAAAAGGTATTATACTGCCCCTTGTTGACTGGCTACACTCTACATTATCTCTTCAGAACTTTTCAATTTCAGTTTCATTTAGCCTAGCCTACTTTTCTTCTGCCTCATGGCTATTCCAGGCAATTCTCCCCTCCTTCCTTCCTTCATCTCACCTGTTACAAGTTAGCAGGCTATCTACTGTTAATCAGTGTATCTTACATTTATTCTCAATGGTCCATCTCTTCTATTCTGGGTGTGATCTCCTTAGAGCAGACAAGGATATTTATGTTCTTGTCTGGTATTTAAGCAGTATCCTAACAAAAACATCAGTACAAGTATTAACCACATTGAAGGGTTAATACTATTACATTAAGTTTCTGCAGTTTCAGTCACCCTAATTATCCACCCAATGCCATTACGAAAGCAGATGAACTACAGGTGCTCTATCTTTTCACAGTCACTGAGTTGGACTGTACTATTCAAATTTACATATGTCTATGTTAATGAGTGCAATATTCCAAACCTCCTTTACTCTGAAATAGGATCCATAAATAGCAAAAAAAGTCCTTAAAAGCAAAATTTTGATGTGGTTTTGTAATGCTTCACAAAGTTCACTGTTCAAACTCACAATTAACTGGTTTCTTACCAAGACTGATGACTCTTCCTTGATCTTACTTTTCACTTCTGAGGTTAGAACTGATTCAAGTTCCTCTTCTTTCTATTTGATCAAAAATGATTTAAATGTAATACTGAAATGAAATGGAAATCTAATTACACAAAATTATTTTCTGCTCTTTAGAGCGGAATGAGCATTTTCAAATCAATATAAATATTTAGACAGAAAACAATCCGCCCTGTGCCTTAAATTTTTTATGATTTTACGTACACTACAACAATTGTTCGAGTTTTCCTCTATTAAAAAAATCACTATAATTTTCTCACTTTCTTTCTTATACCAGTAGCAAGTTTTGTCCATATGTACAACTTTCAAAGTCCTGAGAGGTTCTGGAAAACTGCAAAAGCTTTTTAATATAAAAAGTAGCATTTTCAATTTGATACTTTAAGTGTACATGTGTGCAGAAAGGACATTTCCTTACAAGGACATGAAAGTATTCTGCAGACTGATTACCTCCTGTAGTTAAAAAACAGATCTGCCTTACATAAATTATTTTCAGTGGTTGAAAAATAAGTCAGGCTTTGAGTCAATTACTCACATTCACTGTCTTGCCACATACATAAGGTGCATCTATACTTAAAGAAAGTAAGTAACATAAATATGCCTGTGGAGCTTTATCATGAAATCTCCTAGTCCACTGGAAATACATTTCATATTAATAAAAAAGGTCATTATTAATTAAACTATTAGAAGACTTCTTGTCAGCAGAAATCTTTAAGTGCTCATCTGGTAAAGTAATAGCTGAGTTGTGCATAAGATTTTTTTTTTCCTTCATAATCCTGACAAGAAGTGAGACTAGAAAAACTTTCCAGGCCACAATGAAATTCAAAAGACTATTCCAAGCAGCAATTTTAGTCTCTCAGTATGGTCAGACCCAAAAAAAAGTATCTCCTCTCTGACAGTATGAAGAACAAGAAACAAAATTCTCTAAAATTACAGGGCTTGTCTTTAAAAATTTGCCTGTTAGTAACACACACAGAGGTTCCAGTAAAGCAAGCTCCAGTAAAGTATCAAAAAAAATTAAGACGGTCTGAGCTAAGGATGCCCAAGCAATTCCTAATTTTCATGTGATCCAAGGTATCTTGCAAATTCCAGTTCCTAAATCATACACTCAAACTTTTAACACTTCAACACTGCTCACACTGTACAAGAACTGGCTGGACAGTAAGCTTTAATGTGTACATTTTAATTAAACAAAAATTAAACCTGTTCTTTCTCTCTTACTCCCCTCTTCATTGTTAATAGTCTAGTGCTCTCAACATTGTTTTGCTCTGCAAATCTTCTTTTGGCCTGTTTTTTTTGAATGAAGTGACCACTGTTAACCCAAATTCTCTTGTGTTTTTCATATCATTTAGAAAATTCTCCTTGTCTCCGAGACAAAACCAGAGAAATTATCATGAAAACACAAACTGTGTTTTGGTTTTGCTGTTTTTGTCGGTTTTGGGTTTGTTTTGTTTTAAAATTTCTCATAGATCAATTTTAATAATCTCTCACATGCTATCTCAAGATTCTGACTTGAAAGATGTTGGACACTAGTGTGGTATGCAACAGAAGAGGTCAACTAAAGGTTTCTTCAGATAATTATTTACATAAACATACTTAAGTAATATTTTAGTTTAAATATTAACATTATAATTAACACAGCAACAAACAACATGAGAAGTTTTTCTTGGACCAGGGACATATTCTGCTGTTCTACCTACAGTATTTCAAGTCAACAGAGAGGAAAACTACTGGAATACAAGCAGCTTTCAATTCACAAAGAAAGAACACCCTGAGGAATGAAAAAACATTTAAATAGGTGCAAAACCGCAATGTTCGCATGTAATAGATCAACCACTCTGAGCTAAAAATTGGGTTTTGATGAGATTTAAGCAAACAAACTTGACTAAGCCATTTTCTAGTGTGCAGGCAGCCTCATCCTTAGAGGAGCTAACTGCATCCTTCTAAGACAGTTGCAAATTTCAAGACAAGGTAAATGAACATAACTTACCAGTATTTTATTCTCCTCTCTCTGATTTACATTCACTTCTTGAATCCTGCTTCCTTTGCCTTCCAAACATCTTTTTTTCCGACTATTTCCTTGAGCTTCCTGGTCATGATCTGCCATTTCCTCTTCCCAGTCTAGGTCTCTGCTTCCGAACACAATTTCTAGTGCCTCTGTATCTTCAGATAAATCCTCTAACTCCTTTCTCTTCTTTGGTGCATGATTTTCACTAGAAGTGGTTTTAGTGTCTGTTTTATCACTTCTTAGTTTGACACTTTCCCTCGTAAGCTTTAGACCTGTGTCTTCTAATGCAAAATTTGTTTTTGGGTCCAGGATGTTATTTTTCTTTTGATGCTGTTTTGCTTCACTGTTCTGAACTGATGAAGTGGTGGATTCAGTGCACTTGGAAAGAGGCAATGGCCCCTCCTCCAGTTTTGCTAGTTTTGTTCTGTTTTATCACTTCTTAGTTTGACACTTTCCCTCGTAAGCTTTAGACCTGTGTCTTCTAATGCAAAATTTGTTTTTGGGTCCAGGATGTTATTTTTCTTTTGATGCTGTTTTGCTTCACTGTTCTGAACTGATGAAGTGGTGGATTCAGTGCACTTGGAAAGAGGCAATGGCCCCTCCTCCAGTTTTGCTAGTTTTGTTACATTCTTCTTCATCTTTCCCTTATCCAGAAAGAAATTATAATAGCAAGAAATTACAAATACAATTTTGCATATGACTAGCTGTATCCACAACTTAACAGCTTCCTGGGGTATTTTAGGGACTGCAGTGTGAAATTTGAAGCTAAGTACCCATGAGGAAAAGTCTGCCACTTAAGGAATCCTATCTAAAAATTACCTTTTTAAGTATGTTTTGAATTAAAAGGACATCGCTTGAGTTAAAATTATTTTCCAGAAACAGCACCAACATAACAATAGGGGAAGTAATGCCAAGAACATTTCAACGTACCTTTTTCGAGCTACCTGGAAGTAGTTTGTAATTGAGTTAGACTGGTGATGTGAAGCACAGTCACTAGGTTTAACAGCTTCTGAAATTTTAGATGGTGAGACAGGTTGAATCTTTTGACTAAACCCAGATGTTCTGTTCCCTCTAGGTATCGATGTTCCTGCATTTGCACTGCCACTTGTGCTAGTGTTTTTCTTCACGGGGGTTGTATTCTGGAGAGCCATTTTCCCTTGTCTATCCATCTGGGGAGTATTCTCTATCTCCATACTAGATTAGACAGAAAAAACAATACTAAATGACACACAGGAAGTTACCAGAGGTATACTGAGAACTACACTTTTTTAAAAAGCTGTAGTTGTACTTTGAACATATATATATAACATATATATATAAACAATGTGCTAAAACCAAACTGTATAATCTGCTAAGATCAATACATTCTTATGATTGTGAAATGGCTTGAAAATTTGCAAAAGTTAACAGTCAAATCAGATATGCAGTATCTACATTTGCATCTGAAAGAGTCGAGTAAGTCCTGTGTGATGGGTTTTGTTATCTAGCACTCAAAAGCAGAAATTACCTCACTGCAGTGACCACAATTCAGCAAACGCCATTTCTAACACTGTATATCTCTGCCCATGGCAATGATACAGTTCCTCTGCCCCAAAAGATTGTTTTATTTATACCTATTAGCTTAGAAAATTCCAAGAACTTCCCTGAATACTTTACCATGTCTGCTCTTCTGCTTCCGTATCACCTATGTATAATGTGCTGCTACCTGCAGCAGTTGGCATTATGGTTTCATCCACAGCCAGACTCTGAGAAATGGCTCGGCCTGCAACAGCTGATCCAGCTGTACTTTCAGTTACGGCTGCAAGAGAAGAACTAAAAGGTTAGTACCAAATCCATGTGTCTTTGCATGTGTTATCACACCGTAGTAACTGATCAGGTGAGATTTTTGTAAAATGATCTGAAAGCAATTTTAATACAAATATTAAGCAGATTTATACATTTAAATACCTGAAAGAAACAGTCCCAAAGGACCATATTCTGGGCTTCAGATTTAGTTAAATATTCCACTGAATTATGTCATGGACTTTTACTTAAGGATGAAGTGTAATGGGAAATCATATATTAATATGGACACGATGTACAGAATAAATCATCCAATATATATTTTATGCAAAACTGTCAATGCACAAAATCCCTTACATTTATTCTTTATTATGATCTCTAACATATGATTATTATATCTGGGATACAAGTCTTTTCAACTGTAAACATACCTCCCTTTAAAAGCCAGATATACTGTCAGTTTACACAGTGCAATCAGGCAACTTAATTTTTATCCAAGTGAATAATTCAGATGGGAAACAAGAATCAGTATTACAGATTCATTCAGTGTCGCAGGGTCAGTATCTTTAAATTTAATCTGAGAATAATTTTGTACTAATTTTCTAAACTGGACAGACAGTAGATCATAAACAAGTTATTCAGACAAGTATCAGTCAACCAAAATATTTTTCAGAGCTCTGCCAGTATTGCATGTATGTCTTTCTGTCTTCAAAACCCATTTTTGAATAAGTAATGTTCCTACATGAAAAGACAAATTTATGGGTTTTTATTTTTTAAAAAGTTTGCTACCTGATACAACACTTTGCAGAAAAAAATTGTACCTATAAAATATAACTCTGAAAATTTTACAGAAACAAAATATAGAATAACAATTCTGAAGGGGCATGAAAAGAGAATCCGACAAATAAAACCTTCTAATACTAACATATTAGCAAATACAAGCTTCAAGTAAATCTTGGAGTATCCACACCAAAGTATTACTTTAGCAAATAAGGGAATCATGTCTCACTGGTTTTACTTGTTACACCAGATTGCATTTAGTTTTGAACCGGGTGGGAGGTGGTTGAACTTTCCTGAAGCAAATTCCTTTTTCTGCAAAGAAAAAGACCGAACCAAGCCTTGACAAATCAATTCCATTCTTACTCTCTCGATTTCTGACATGCATCTTTTACCTCCCTATTACCCCAGTTGCTTATGAAAAGATAACAAGGAATTCAAACTACCATGTACATATGAATTTAGTGGCCACTAAAAATATGAACTTCAGAAGATTTTTAACTACGTTTGCTTTCAAGATCACCGTTCTATGTGTCTGCTTTTTACACTCTTTTCAGATCTACATTTTTATTTACAACTGAGTCATATAATTTTCATTGCAACTTATTGCAAGGCCACTAAAACCCAATTACCTCTTCAGAGTTGTACACATTTTCCGTAGTGTCACTCTATTTTAGGGGTCTTGCAAAACAGAACAGAAGTTGGTGACCCTACACAAAAAGAAACACTGACTCCTTCAGGCTGTTAAATTATTACTACCCTTCTTCCAATTACCTCTGGAAGCAGGCTGCTTTCGGGGGTTGCAGTATTTTTCTGTAGACATGAAGATAACTGCCAATCCAATTTCTGCCTCTGGAATAGCCCTGAGATTGTTGCTGTTAATATATAAATTAAAAAAAAAGACCAAAAAAAGGTTTCTCAGTACAGATTTGAAGATGATAGGCAAATGGGCACAGGTATATTCCATCCCTCCTTTCAAAAAACATCAGTCTACACTACAGTTTTTCTCAATATATTGTGAAGTCAGCATAATTATCCTTCATCGTAGACATGACTTATATGTATGAACTCCCATGTTTCCTGCTACTGTAACTACTGTTTAGTCCCAGCAATCCAGCCAGTACATCTCTCCCTACCTGATTTTTGGGCATTTAACCAACTGTGCTCTACCTCTGACTCAAAAACATGTGAATAGAAAAGTGACTTGAAAGATCTGTGCACTTCTTACAAGCCAGGCACGCACGCACACACGCACACACACACACACTCCTCTTGTGTACTACAGCTTAAGCACAGGCTTCTCTACCTAGCAGGAATATTTAGGGCAACTAGCTTTGTGTACTAAGTTAAGGGCTAGGATTTTGTTTTCATTTGTTGTTTTAATAAAATGGCATAATGCAAATCCTAACATCTATAAAATATGCAGTCTGCCCTCTCAAACAAAACCCACCACCAAAACACAAACTGATTTTTATTAAATAGAAGCTGCTCTCCAGAAAGAGTGCATGCAAATAATTATACAACACTGAAAAACATGACCTCAGGGTGTCATCTCATCTCTTTTTGATGAAATAAATACCTATATTTATTGAAATATCATAGATGATCTATTTTCCATTCTTAGAATATATTAACTTCTTTTAAAAAGCAGAACAAAATCTACTTGCTGTCTGTAATTTTAAAGCAGCTTCCTGACAATTAATTTTTGTAGAACTGGATCCTCCAAAAAAAGGAGGAAAAAAAAAGTAAACAAAAACCCCATCAAATCCTCACAGGACTGCCAAATCCTTTCTTTCCTGATTCAAGCAATTTTAGTTACTATGCCAAAGACTTAAAGCAATGAAAAAATGCTCTCTTTCTGTTTAAATACATATGCAAACACCATGACTGAGTTTCTGCAGAAATACTGAAATCACCTTACTGCTGTACCAGAGAACAATGCTGTACCTTTCCAAGACAGTCAGAATGGAATCACTCCAGTGTCTCAGAGAGTCAGACCCTGGGATCTGAGGGTTTGTCAAACCCACATCAACAACACAAACTCCGGGAGAAATTACTAAAGATGTTTCTTTTCTTCCTTCCGTCATCAACTTTACTTCCCCTCCTCCAAGACCAACTGCTGGACCCAGTTTCTTGTGCTAAAAAGAGAATGCAAACAAGAACAAAAACATCTTAAAAACCAGTCAGTTTAGAAGTATCAGAATATTGAACTATCAGAGTAGTGCTTCTCACTGATGCACTACTACAGGGGTAGTGTGTTCTGTTTCTCCCCCTGTACTTTTGCACCCAGAACGAGACTGAATTCTGAAAGAACAAATCTGTGCTTAGATACCACTGCAATATTTTTGCAATGTAAAGCCTGAGTACCTGCTTGGCAGTTAGAAATACAAAAGTTTTTCCACTGAATATTTTTTTCCTTTCATGATGCTCAGATAAATCCAGTTTTTCAGTGCCAATGGAAGGCTCATCAACTGGAGGGTAAAAGCTGCAAGAACAGAAAATTCAAGTTACAAAATCAGATTTGCTTACCAGTACTGACTCTAAACTTTCTGGTTTAGAGTAAAGCTCTGAAGTTAAAATACTGCATTGCTCTGATAAAACCATATATATAAATACTTTTTCAAGAGATGAAGAAGAAACAGAACTCTAATTTCTCAGTATCTAAGACCAAGGCATTCTGCTTCAGTAACCAGGACAACACCACTTTTAAGAATGTATTCAACCAACCTACTGTACACACACCCAATAACAAGTGACAAATGAGAATGAAACCTCATTGAGCACTTACTCTAGATAATAGCAAAGCTCCACACAAAATTAGTTCATGTTATTTTACAAATGCTAATCACTTTACAATGTGCATTCATTATGTATATAATTTCACAGTATTGTCCAAAGCATGCAAAGAATAGAAGCAATTTAAAAAAAGTATCCATTCAGTTTACATTCTAAAAATACATAATGGAAATTTCTCACCTCCATAAATCATCTGTTCGTGCAAAAAAAACCAGAAACCACAACCCCCAAAGAAAACACAACTGTCTCCCTTTTCAAGGTAAAAAACAGTAGCAATACAGGCTCAGATGAAATTGCCACATAAAATAACAGGACTATTTGACACTTTCGTACATAGACAAAATAATCAGAACTACTCTGCAGTTATTTACTCATTCCAGAGTAAGAATTCCCTTTCCAAGTTAATTTAACCATGAAAACAATGAGCATTTTATTCTCATCTAATGAAAACCAACACACATTAGTCTCACTTCACCTCTTAAGAGACAATTAAAAATCCCTGTTATTTCAGGGAATTCAAGGGTCAGGCTAACTCAATTTTGATCAAAGTTGACTGTAAACTCAGTAACTAACTGCATAGTGGGAAAATACATCTACATAATGAAATAAGCTTGACACGGTTTCTTTTATAAAAAATAAAACTTCTTTATTTTTTGTATCAACTCCAGAAAGTGTTTGAAGCAACATTTAAAGTCACAAACAAAACAAGTTCCTATTTAGAGACAGTTACATCTCCACGCATATAATCAATTCCAAGAGCTCATTTTGTAACTCTAGGGACAAGAACAAGAAAATTGCCTGAATACTCAAATGTATGTTGCATTAAGCATTCTTCCGTAAATGAAGTTACTGCAAAACCACATAATCTGTCAAAAATTATCAGATAAACATAGAATCATAGAATCAACCACGTTGGAAGAGACCTCAAAGATCATAGAGTCCAACCCTACCATCGTTACTAGACCATGGCACTAAGTGCCACATCCAGTCTCATCTTGAAAACCTCCAGCTCCCAAAAGTTTAATTCTGTGACATTGTAAACATGATGATTTGGGAACTTACCTTTCATGATTTGGCAACTGTTGCCTGGACTGAATAGCTCTGATTAATTCAACAAAAAACTCTGGTTTTATAATTGGTCGAGCACAAATCAAAGCGCATATAGTCTGAAAAGCCAGAAAATATATATTTACTGCATGGAAAAATTTCAGATACAATATGGTTCAACTGACATTAGCTGTGACATTAGATGTGGCAAAAGTCACACAAATAAAACAATACTGATTTTTGCTTTTGGGATAGTTTTGTTTCTAACAGCCTAGCTTTTAGCTGGTATCTTGAATAAATTGTAAAAAAAGTAGTAGGCAACTAATACAAATCAGTAAGCCATCAAAATCGGCTTTTTTCATTTTCTCTCCCTTCAACCTCCCATCGACACACACTCTTCTAACTTGGAAAAGGAAGAGTTGACTATGTAGTTTTGTAGACAAAAATCTTGAGCAGGTCTAGAATTTAATTCACATTTGTGAAAAACAGTGAGGCAATGCTATTAATATGCAAAAGCTCAACATACCTTAACAGTAACTTTTACTGACACCATGACAAGGTGGGTACACTCGCTGGTCCACTCATTCACTACATGCCCTCCAAGCTGCTGGATGGCTTGATTTAAAGCTGTTTTCTGAGCTACATCTAAGCATGAGGAGCAGACAACCAAAGGTTCATACTCCACTCTGCAAAGAACAAGTAAAAGAGAATTGGTTTAGTTATTTCAGTCAATCATTATGACGAACAGAGCTGACTTAACTATCATGCCCGTGTCTCAGGGAAATCTGAAGAAAAAAAAGACATATACTCTTACCTAGATCAAAGACTGTGCTTTAAATTATCCTGAATAAAGTAAACACAAACCTTTATTCAGGAAACTTTTGAGTCTTTCAAAGACATCACATCGAATTAGTACTTCAAGAATACTGCAAGGTGTGGGAATATCAAGAAATTCATGTGTTTGCTTCAAAAGGCAAAAGTATGCTCAGCAGTCCACCAACAGATTAATACTTAAATACAAGTGCTGTAGAATCCAAATTCAAGTAACTTTTTCCTAATAGGGCCATAACTCTTGACCATAAGCCTTTTTGTATTTGTAGATCTTCCATATCGAATTCAGCATATCAAATTCCATTATTTGATTTGGTTTAGTCTACAAAGTAGAAAGAAATTTAAATAATCTCTCTAGCACAACAGTCATGATGTATCTGGCCTCGTGGCCTGGTTCCTGTACCACATTTCAGGTATGTTTATCTAAAATATAAAAAAACCTTTACTGCAATAATTGCAGGAGAATGTCATTGTTTTCTAACAAATAGTATGTGCAGCAGTGATAAAAGTGAATCAAATTACAAGGCACAAAGCCACCTTATGGTTGCTTTAATGTTGGTTTTAATGACCACTAGTCACTTCAGGGAGTGTTTCCTATATACAAACAGGTAACACTGGCTACAGTGTTAAATTTGGGTCCCCTGAAGAGAATGCAGGCACGGGTCACAGCAACAAGCATTCGACAGCTAGTGCTGCACAAAGCATCCTCCAACAATGTCAGGTCCTTACTCAGTACATCATCAACAGCTAGCAAGGGTTCAGACAAGCTCTCTCCCTTCCCTAAATCTTCCTTAGAATCATTTGGTTTTGGATTTATTTTTTTGCCTAAGATAGTCTGAAAACACTTACTGTACATGATACCACACTTTCTAAAATGCCAATGCTTTACTACGAACAATTTTAATCCCTTAGTATCAAAATAAATTACATTATAAAAATATAATGGAAAACTCTTTCAGAAGCAGGTGTGGAACACAGGTGAAATACTACTCATCTCCTTTGCTTTCTAAAAATTCATCATTGCTGTATCACTTGCTAAATTGCATGATATACTAAAACACTCTTTTTAAAAAAAGAATGTACTTGATATCTTATAATCAAAGCACTTACCTAAACTTGCTCTCAAAGACTCCAAAGTTGATTCTGTCACCAGACTGCATAGACACTGAAGTGCCATTGAGTTTCGAACCATTAACAAAGGTACCATACTTAGATGTATCTCTTACTGTTAATGTGGGGACTGAGAGAGACTGACCCTGAAAATCAACATAAATAAGCCATTATAATTTATCAGACTGAGACAGTTTTATCAGGAACAGGTTACTATCATTCTGGACCAAAGCAGTGGATAAACAAGAAAAAGCTTAAATAAAGACTTGAGACAACGAGGTTGGCTATATGTAATTAATCATCTTCTGGTTTTCACTCTGCAGGCATGAGAGAAAACATACATGTTTTTACCTTCAGAACTTTTGTGCTTCTTTCAGTGGTCCAAAAGCCTCTGATAGTGCAATTCAGCAAGGCTTTGAGATTGATTATGGATACGTTTACCTATACCCTATCCCAGGCATAGGGCTGATTGGTAGGTAAAAGATCAAGTCACCTGAGGGCACTTTCCCTTACTTCTTTCCATGAGGACTGCTAGTCTTCTCCAAGCTGCTGGGCATGGAGACACCAGCACCTCTTGAGAAGAGATGAGACACTGCTAGATTTCCAAAATGGTTCACAAGCCAATAAGAACACTGTCAGCTTGTTTTGACAAAATTCTGCCACATAGTTGTATGCCTTTTCACAGAATCACAGATGGATAAGGTTGGAAGGGACCACTGGAGGTCATCTAGTCCAACCTGCCTGCTCAAGCAGGTTTCCTAAGAGCACATTACTCAGGATTGTCTCCAGGTGACTCTGGAGTATCTCCACAGATGGAGACTCCACACATTGAGCGATCTGTTCCAGTGCTTGGTCACCCACACAATGAAGAAGTTCTTCCTCATGTTCTGGTGGAACCTCCTGTGCATCAGTTTCTGCCTGATGCCTCTTGTCCCATTACTTGGCACCACCAAGAAGAGCCTGGCTCCATTCTCTTGACACCCTCCCTTCAGATACTTAAGAGACACTAAGGAGGTTTCCTCTCAGTCATATCTTCTCCAGACTAAATAGGCCCAGATCCCTCATTCTTCTCTTACAAGTGAAGTGGTCCAGTCTCCTCATTATCTTCTCAACCCTCCACTGGACTTACCAAATATTTGCAGTATTAAAAGGATGAATACATTCTATGTATTTTATTTCAAACACTATATAAGGTTATACAAATGAAAATTCCTACTGACTGGCTTCAAAACATCCATAACACCATCCATTGCAACACTTAAGTGACAGGAAATTGCTGTTTGCTAATTCTCCTTGGTATATTTTTATTGCATGACCTAAGCAAATACAGAAATTGCATGACGTGAAATGAAACAGAAACTAAGCCTGAAAAAAGACAACTGAAGCACTTTCCAGAACCAAGACCAAAAACTTGTCTATGTAATGAAATATAATTGCATCATGCTCCTGCTATGATTATTTTAACACAAATTTCTAATGAATCTTCACTCTGGGATGAAAGGGAGCTTTGGACCACTAGAACTATGCCCCTAATTTTCTCACTAACAGGGAAAAAATATATCAATTTCAAAATTAAAAAATGGCAATCAAAGGCTCTGCTCCAAGCACAAAACACTGGTGAGAGCACAAAGACAGTATGCATGGTCATGGCAGACTGAGCTACCCACACAGCATATGGATAACGCAGAAAAATGTGGCTACTTACAGGGGTTGTTTCAGGACGGGTTACTGTCAGAACAGCATGACTTCTACTGATGGACTGATCATCTTGAATTAAAATGGCAGAGTTTTTGCGTCCAACGACATATTCTGTACCACTTAAAAGCCGATATGGCTCTCCTGGGAAAAAACAAGAGACACAAAAATATCAGTTTACAAAAAACACCAAAATACCTGAAGCACATAGGAGACATTGAGAAGTTTGTAGTATAGCTGAGACTCAGTTTTGTCATGTATCGTTTATTAGGCTGATTAGAATTATGCATTTATAGGCAAAACCTCTTTATTTCTCTCTCCCTTGCTTTGTCAATTATAAAATGATGTATTTTATGAGAAACAAAGTAGTTACAAAAGTGGCAGCACATTTTTTTTCAGGGACAATATATTTTGACTAATGTCTTTTAACTTTTTTCACTAATTACCTTTTAACTTTTCTCTTGTATCACCTCTTGAAGATAAGTGTTACATGCGGAAGGAAAAAAATCACACTAAGATAGCTTTTTTCAACCACATATTTTTAAAGGTACATAATTTCTCGAGGTCATATTATTTATTTATATAACTGATTAAGAGGTTCACAGCAAAGATCATCCTAATGACAGTAAGGAGATCTGCAGCATAAATCAAACTGATGCTCAGTAAGTTCAGTTTCTGACTGACACTTTGGCTCACTCCTGGTACCTGACATCTACACCACACGGTGGCTTTTCACTGAATTGCCTGTCTCCATCCCAAATGTGCACTACCACTGGTCAACAGAACCAGGAATGTTTCTGGATGAAAATGAGTAGCTGCAGATCAACTTCTAGTTATCAGCCCCTGGCAAATAACTTTCTAAATACGAATTGTGCAGAAACGATCATCCTGAATACAATGATGTGAGTGTTTTGCCTCTTGCTTAAGAGCTTTCCAGGCAGTAAGAGAAAACTAAGCTCATTTCAATAGGATTAGGTGCTATTGCCACTAGGAGATAAATCAGACATCCAAAATTCACTCCCAGTGAACTAGGAAATAGAACAGA